CGCGGCGCCCGAGGAGGGAGCGGCGCCCGCGGGGGGCTCCCCCTTGAAGAAGCCTCGCCAGAGGGAAGAGGAGGACGACGAGGAGGAGGACATGGAGACGAGCAACGTGGCCAGCCTCATCAGCATCTTCGGCTCCAGTTTTTCGGGACTGCTCACCAAAAAGTCCCCCGGCGGCGGCGGCGGCGGCAGGAACAGCAGCCGCCCGCGGCGAAGGCGGCAGGAGGTCGAGGAGGGAGCCGAGGCAGCGCTGGGGCTGGGGGCGGCAGCAGATCCTGAGCCCCCCGGGCCGGTCTGTGCCGACGGCCCCGTGCTCCGAAGTCTCCACCCGTGGAGGAGCACAGCCATCGTGGCTTTTTGACCTTGGCACCGACGCACAGGACCGGGAATAAATAGCGGGAACTCGCGTTGGATCCGGAGTTGGAGGCGAAGTTTGACTTGGGCTTGTTTCCAAATCCTCGTAGCCTGGCTGGGCGCCGCCTGCTTTGTCTACGGTGTGCCGGGTGCGCTGCCCCCCCCCTTTCCCGGGAGAGGTAGCCCTGGCTCGCCCTGGGACGGGGGTCCGAGGAGGCGCCTGCGCTTGAATGCCCCCCCCCCGCCTTTTCCGGCCGCCGTTTGTCAGCCCCGCTCGAAAGGGGTTTCGGCTCATCGCCGCCTGGTTTGAGACCCCCTGCCCGCCAAGGGTCTGGCTTGGGCGCCCTCCTCCCTGCCCTTTCCCTCCCCCGACGTCGGTTTTGAAGGTCAAATGCCCTCCTTCGCCTGCCTTGCCGAGCATGTTTCCCGAGCAACCGATGAGACCCAAGTTTTTATTACAAGCGGCAGCTTACGTTTGGGGGTGAAGGGGGGGAGGCCAGGGCAGAAGAGTTTTTTTTTTCCTAATTGATCGTGGTGTTGTTGAAAGTGTGTTAACTGTTTACAAATCTGTGGTTCAAAGTTGACTCCCGGTCTTTGTTATATAAAGGCTCTTGGGAGGGAAGGTCTTCATGGACGTTCTGTACAGTATTCGGTTTCTCCAGCTGTTTATTTTGTATGGAAATGTAACGTCTTGCGTGGGCAACACGCATTAAATAGTTCAATCTTGTTAAACTGCACTTGTGTTGGTGTACATTTCTGGGCTTGGGGATGGGAGGGCAGGTGTTGTACAGCAGCCTTCTGAAATCTAGTTTTGGATGACGACTCCCAGAAGCCCTCAGCCAACATACTTGGAGAACACCAGGATGGAGAAGACAGTTTTACATCCTCTTCTTTACCAGTAACAAGGCTGCTTGAATCATTTGATTCATGTTAGTCCTAATACCAAGAAGAAGCAATAAGACATGAATTGTGCTGCAGGTGAATCATGGACTGTCTTGATCAGAAAGCACAGTATTTGGGATGCAGCTTTATTTTGATCCATCTAGCCCAGTATTGCAAAATGTTGGCAGGATGTTTTCCTACACCTACCTGGAGAGTCTTGGTATTGCTGGGTAATCTCCAGTCCAAGGATTTATTAATTTGATTTTTATCCTGCCTTTCTCCCCTAGTTGAATCCAGTACAGCTGACTAATTGATCCCAACCCTGCTCTGGGAAATGTGGTCAAACTGATAAGTTGGTGTTGAAAGCAAATGCTGGTGCAATTAAAGTTCTGTCTGGTAGTCTTGTCTGCTGCTCTTGTGGATGAGGAGCTGTGATGGGAAAGGTATGTGTGACCTTGGTTGAATGCTACCCCTTCTGCACCTGCCATTTAAAAGTCGTAGGTACCAAAGAGTCTTTTTCAGTGCCCTTCTCTACTTAGACATTGCTCTGTTGAATCTGTTCCAGTGCATTTCTCTTAACTTGGATTTTTCCCTCTACCACTTGATGCATGATAAACTATGTGAGTGATTATTGTAAAAGCTTTTGGAATTGTGAGAAAGCTTTACCAAAAGCTAGGCCTAGAATTCTGTGGCTTTTGAGGTTCCCTCTGGTACATGTCTTGGGGCTTCTGTTCAGCCATGGAGCAGCCAATTTGTTGCTCAGTTGGCCAGGTACTTTAGAATTTTCACTATCCAGAAACCTCATGTTCTGGAAAGTTTTGCAGGGGTGGATGGTACATGCCCTTATTTTCTTCTGGGCCTCAAAGATCAGGAACCTGAATACCTGCAGTCCCAGATGCCCTCACTAAATTGAATTCTAGGTTCTAGTCTGACACTTTCTGGCATAAATTAATATCTTAATGTCAAATGTTTTGCATTTTGTTAAGTCACATACCTGGATATAGGTGTTGTCACTGATATTTGGTAGGGGTTTCTTTCCAAATACAAGTGCACTATAGGTGTAGTCACATAGTTGGTTGTATAGGGGACATTTCTTAATGTTCAGGTTGAGAAATGGCAGGCAGAAACTCTAGTTTTTAGAGGTATACTCTCTGCTGGCTTAACCACCACATTTGCTACCTGTTGAGAATTTGGCCTAGAGCAGCTGCTACCCAGCTAATGCCATTCACATATTTTGGATGTCACCTCTCATTGACCCTACCCAACATTGCAAGAGTTACCTTGGGCTTTTGATTTTACTTGCCAAGTGGAAATACCTTATTTTCTTTTTGCATTTATTTCTTTAAATGTAGAGTTCAAAACTTACGGGCACTCTAAAGCTGCTGCTGCAAGGTCACAAATTTAGTTACCAAATTAAGTCATCTATTGGGACAACAGAAGACTAGTTGTAAATTGTGAAAACTGACCAGCAGTTTGGGCCTTAAGTATGAAAATTTGTCAGCTGTCATTGAAAATATCTGGTGGGCACCAGGTTGGGAAAAGCTGGTCTGAGCTAACAATATGGCCTAGGAAAATTCTTTACTGTTTCAGTGGAATTAATACAGTCACTGCTTTGTTTCTGTAGTCTTATCAACATACATAATGGTTTATATAATACACTTTAGAGTGTAATGTAAGTTTGGAGAAAGTTCTTGGCCCACCGGAGATTTTAGCCTAGCTTGTCAGAGGCATGAATAATAGCTTTTCATTTATGGATGATAAGAGGATAAAATCAAAAGGTCTGCAGAAAATTAGGCTGGAGGAAAGCCTGACGGAAGAACCGGGAATTGTTGTGGGGTGTGCTGTAGAATTGCAGTTAACAGAAAAAGGGCTAAGTGTGCTTCTGTTAAGAGAAGGAATTTGTGGTGGAACTGTTACCCCTCACTTTTCTTCCATGGTTCTGCTGGCTGTTATGTCCAGAGGGAGTTTTCTCTAACAAGGGATTAGAAACCTAAGAAATCAGTCTTGCTGTTGCTGTGTGACTGCTATTAAGAACAAGCAGTAATGGAAGACAACTTAGTGGCTGCAGATGTTGGAACAAACGTGTTTGGCCTTCATGGGTGGCAGGGCTCAAAGTCGGAACTTGAAAAGCTATTCTGGAAACATGTTCAATTCTGAGATTGGAGTTAGCCCCTCCCCCTTAATTTAATGAGTTGTAGTGGTGAGCAGCAATCTCTTGTGGCTTTATTTAAAGAGTTGAGAAGCGTTTTTAAAAAATGATACAAAAGAAAACTGACTGTCTCACCACCCCACCTGCATTAAATAATTGCAAACTCGCCAAATGTAAAGTGCAGTGTTGGGATAAGATGAAATGTGAGGCACAGAGGAGGAGACGGAAGGGAGTGTTAACCGCAAGAGAGAACCCAAAAGTGAAGAGGTAGAAATGGGAGTGGGGTTCATACAATTTGCATTGTTCAGATTAGATATTTATTGAATTTGTGCTAGGATAATGTCATGTCTTTTTACAGCTTGTAAAAGCCAAAGTTTTTGATACGATGATTTATTATAGACTATCTGCCAGAAATTGATAAAGAACACATTGCACAAAAATATATGTAGGACACCTGTGCTGTAATGTGGAAGGAGTAGTAATCTAAAATATGTCTGCTCAAGCATTTATCCAGTGCACCACTGGAAGCATCCCTCTGAGAGTGAATGGGAGGTTGTTTTCATGCAAAGTGTGGTGAAGAAAGATTAGCTTCTTCCCAATGGTCTTGAGCCCATCATTGTTTACATTTTTTTAAAGCTATACACTGGCTGGATAGCTCAGTGAGTTAGTTAATCTGGCTGTGGAACCAGAGATTGGGAGTTCAGTTCCCTACAGTACATCCCAGAAGAGTCACTTGATGTGGCTTTGGGCAAGCTGCACAATCCCAGGAATCCCTCAGAAGAAGGGAACGGTAAACCTCACCTGAGTATTCTGTACCTAGAAAAGGATGAAAATGGTCACCATAAGTCAGAACTGACTTGACACCACACGATTACTGTTATATACAGTGAGTATGCAATGGCTTCTTTGATTCTGAAACTCTTCTGATACCTTTCCACGAACGCTCCATGTTTACGAATGCAATTGTAGTAGTGTAGTAGTAGACCTAGAAAGTAGGTAATAATTTAGGTAGGAGGAATGTTTTCAAGCCATAAAGTGATTAGAGAAAGAGACATCTGGCACAAAAGGATTTTGTGTGTCCAGTGAACTGTGGTGAATAAATACAAATTTCATAGGTAATTCTCTTATTAAAGGCTCTATGGAAGAGTGACTACTAATAGTGTCTTTAATTTAAACCTGTCTTGTTTATCCTCTGAAACCATAAGCTGATTTCATAGACTTTGTTTTGATTCTGAGGGAGAACTGTGCACGTTTTTGCCAGATAACCTGTTGAGAAATTTTCACAGGAAAAGACTCTTTTATTGGAAGCAAATAGTAGTAGCCGGGCTGATTTCCACTACTCTCCAAACAGCAGGAACACCAAGTGGTTGTTAATTGAATCACATAAGATATCCGTCACAATATAATCTCAGCAAGCTGGCACAGAGTATTCTGCTATAGGTTCAAAGTAATCTCTTCCAGTAAGAGTAAAATGTTCTGCTGGCCTGACTTGGGCGCATTTCCCCAGCCTAGAGGAAGTGTTGGGTGAACAGTGCTATCATTCCTAGCCAGTGGGTCTGTGGTCATAACAAGTATGGGATTTTTAAGTCAACTCATCAGGAGGATACCAGGTCAGAAAAGGCTGTGGGAGAGCTTAATATTGAGAGATGGAGGTGGGGTAAAATATGTACAGTGGACCCTCTACTTATGGAATTAATCCATATTGGAAAGGTGGCTGCAGGTCAAATTCTGTAGGTCGAGTCTCCATTGACCTACAATGAATTGAAAACTGATTAATCCCGTAATCGGCTGTTTTTGTTCCATTTTTGTTCCATTTTGGTTTTTTTCTGGTCTGTAGGTCGATTCTCCAGCTGCAAGTCAAACCTAAATTTTGTGGCCAGAGAAGTCTGTAACTCGAAAAGTCTGTAAGTGGAGCCGTCTGTAAGTCGAGGGACCACTGTGTGTGATTAGTGCTCAGCCTTTTGGTTTAACTTGCCCATATGACACACAAATTTGTAACATATTAGCATTACAATTGGACAGCTGAGTGAAATCACACCCTTCTGTGCTTCCTACATTGACCTGAACCTTTAGCTTGGGGAGGAGGGAAGTAAATAGCTTGCATTGCAAGGTCTCTAATATTGTGCTTAACTGGTGCATTATTTGATAGTGAAGAGAGAATTTCAACAGGCAACAGGTTTTTTTTTTACCCACTTGGCCAGTGGACAGCTGCACATTATCAATGCTAGGAACACTTCTCTGTGTGAGCTTGTCTTTCATGGCGCAGCTACCTGAATCAGTGCAGCTCAGGCACATGCAGGTTAACCAGCGCGGAAAGAAGCAGACTAGATTATGGTGCTGGTACGTGGAAGAAGCTGCTAACAGAATTTGTAGAAATGTCTTATAAAACTGTTGGAAAGAAAGTAGAACTAAAAATAAGCATGGGAAAAGGTGGAGTCCCTCTTGCGGAAATTGCTGAGTAAGGATGTCAGAGGAAATCAAATGCACCACCCAGATGGAGGCAGTAAAAGTCACTTGACCTGAATTGGTTTAACACACATTAGCTAAAACACTCTTCCTGACAGCACACTCATGTGTGTCTTGTGTTTTAAAGCAGAAGGGTCAGTGGGCACAACTGATACTATCATTAAGTTTTCTTTCTCATCAGTGAAATACTCACAGTGCTTTGGGCTTCCATGTTTGTTTGGAAGTGCTAC